TTAGCCACTATGCTACCAGAGCTCTACGCAAGCAGTGTACTGTGCTGTGCTCCTCTATTCTCTAGTTGACAGCACTTATACACACATACACACACCACCTGTCTCCTTTCCAGTTTTCAGCCTCTTGTATATCCCTGCCGACCTTGGCAAACAGAGCCTATTCTTAGGTCCCTGGAATCCAAATGAGAATGCTATCACTTTATTTATTCATTTATTTTTTCTTTTTTTTGTTATTTGGGTGAAAATTTACAGAGCAAATAACACTTTCCATACAGCAGTTCACATACACTTTGTCTCATGACATTGACCACAGTTTACCACAGTGAAACATCTCCCCTCCCACTTCTTCCTGACAGTTACCTCTTCCCTGTGTCCATCCCTCCATGCATTCCTGCCCCCTAAGCTGTCTCCCTGTGCATAAGCAGCCCTTCTTTCTCCCATGCTTGGTCTCTCTAAGGAGTGTACCTATTTCAGGTAAATGTTCAACTCATATGCCTGTCCATTGTTTGGCTGGAAGCCACAGGCATGTGTTCAATTCCAGACCTGATGGGCAGCTAAGGGCCATAGTCTCAGTGGTTCCACCAGGCTCCATCGGGCCAGCAAACCTATTCCTCCCCCCCTTTTATTTTCCAAATGATTTTGAGTTTTGTTCCACATTGTTCTCCCTGTCTAGCCAGGATCTGCTACATAGATCCTCTTCCAAGTGGTTGACAGTAGTAGCCGGGAACCATCTAGTTCTTCTGGTCTTATAGTTGTATAGGCTGCAGATCAGATGGTGTACCAGTTGCTAGGACTAATTTTTTTCCATGAATTTTTGGTTTTCTTCATTCTTCTTGGCTCTGGATGAGAAGAGACCCAGCGTTGCATCTAGATGGCAGCTTGCAAGCTTTTAAGATCCCAGTCGCTACTCGCCACAGTAGGAGGTGGAATAGTGTTTTGTGTAGTATGTTATGCCAATTGAGCTTGATGTCCTCTGCGACTATGGTCCCGCGCCCACAGGTTCAACTACTTGGTCCCTCTGCGTAGCTGGCTGTGACTAAGGAGTGACTACAACCTTGCCCTTTGTCAGCTCCATTATACACCTAGGAATTCAGATCATACACATAAAGTTATAGGACCACTGTCTGCCAACCCTATGCATGTTCTTGGGTGCACTCCCCACTTCATAAACATAGCTAATAGTTCAGCCTGTCCACCCATCTATCCACCCAATATACCCGTGTTTGCCTTCACTGACCACGTCGTACTATATGTGCAAAAGGGTTCATCTTTGTTGTCTGTGCTTCCCACGTACCTCTCTACATCTTTCTCTTCCTCAGTGCCACTATATTGATCACTCACATTTGGTACATTGCCTTTCTCTTCACCCAAATCAAAACTTATCTCTATCTATCTAAC